CAAGGGACCAGAAAGGACGGATGTTTGTGATAGTAGGAACTACAGAAAGAGCAGAGAAGGATGGGTTGTGTCCAGGCTCCTGTACTTTGCAGTGTTCCCACTTCTACAAAGTCAGACCTCCCAAAATCAGGGACAGATGGAGCAGGCCATGATCTCATGTCCCTTTCACTGAGGACCTCAGCAACACCAGTGCAACAACTGCAGGATAGTGTCACACCTCAGCTGTTAATGGAGCCCATCAGCACTGAGAAGTCATCAGTGTGGGTCCCAAGAAAATTCACTTCAGCCCCAATTCACATGGCCAGTAGCGCTGCATTATTGACCTGATACATTCAAACGTCTTACAGCAGTTCATTAATTTCTCATCACTCAGATGTAACTTAATACCCAGTTACTGTGAGGATGTGTGAAGGCCAGGGAGACAGAGACAGGGAAAGAAATCAGCTAGCATTTAAATGCCTCTCCAAGACTTTTACAAATAGTATGCCCCAGGATCACTTACCTGTCTGCTGAGATGCAGTAATCTCTGGGGTGAAATGCACCAGGAGATTTTAAGGCTGAGTTTGTGTCTCATCCAAAATACCACACTACCATCGCTATAGCATCCTTGGTAAATTCATGGGATCAGTACCAACCTGGAAGAGAACTTTTTGCTGAATCACTGTCGTTGCTGCTGATCTTATGTAAACACCGACAGGCACTGGGGTCAGCGCGGCTTAAGGGAATATATGTATGGAAGTGTTTCCTTTATGAGTCACTTACACTATTTACTGCGGCACAGGTCTCCTCCACACCATACCGTGGCACCGATACCTGACTTTTTAGAGGGAAGAGTGCTTCACCTTGCATCATATCTGCTGTAGATGTCCCTAAGTTACCCTCTGCTGGAGAAGGATGGCTGCATGCAAAGCAGAAGGCAGCAATGTGAATGAGAAGGGAAGGCGCAGAAGGATGCTAATTATTCATCTATCCCAGAAGTGAGGGTTGTCCAACGTCATGGGGCAAGGGCGGGGAAAATTAACACGGTTCTTGTCCGTCCCAAAAAGCAAAACGGTTAAACAGCTGTGGATCCAGTACACTGACAAAGAGGAGAGCTGAGAGGGGAGCCTTCATTCCAGACCGGGGCCTGCAGGCACCGAGCCGCGTCTCCTGACGAATGTGCTCGGACGGGGGGAGCGGGGCTTGGCGTGCCCGTGTGCTGCAGCTCCCTCCGGTGTCCGCAGCGAGCAGGAGCAGCAGGAGGCCGCCGGTTCTTTCCCTGCGGTTTGCCTGGTGTCTAAAAGGCTGAACTGCTTCCCAGCCAGCGGTTCCATCAGCGGGAGCATCCCTCCCCGTCCGCACCAAGCTCTCCAGATGGAGGGGTGCTGCTCGCACAAGGGGTCTGCCCGCACTGAGCAGCGGGGGGGAGGACGCAGCCTTCCAGTTTGAAAAAAAAGGATTTAAAGCTCCAAAGCAAGCAGAAGGCTTGTCCCGGACTAGAGGTGAATTCTGTGCTTTGTGGGAGACGGTGATACATCAGCGCATTGCTAGACCAAAACATATGGCATCAATGGAAGTTTCCAAATAAATGTGTTCAGAACTCACAAGGTCTTCAAGATATTTTAGTTATCCAGTTAAGCAGTAACAGAGGTTGAGTGACAGCACAGAGAAAAACAAAAAGCAAACCAAGCCGTGTGGAAAGGTGTAGCCCAAACGTGTGGACTTCCAGAAAAAAAGCCAAGGATCTGAGAGGATTCTTCAAACTGGGGTGCAGTTATAACTTCCATCACTTTCTTTTGGTTGTTTAATCACCTTTTGAGTGTCTCTGGTGGACTGAGTCTTAGCCAGTCCCTGAAAGTGGGAATGGTGACGGTCTCGCTCCAGTGAAACGGAGTGACGGTGGTTCGGCCAGAAGGCTGCCTTGGTGACCAGGGAAAGGCCTAGCTTTCCCCATCCCCTCTGCCCCTCTTCTGGTGCTCCCACCACTGGTGCTTCCCCCACGAATCTTGGGAAGACCAGAAATAAGAAGGAGCAGTCGTTCTGTCTTTTCTCTTGAGCACTGCCACGACTGATGTTCAGCCACTGTTAGGTAGAAGTTGTGGCTTCAGGTATGACAACGTGGGTAACACTCTTCTGGGTCTCTCATGGCAGTGAGGACATAGTGAGGATTTCCTTAGTAACTGTGTACAAGGCATTATAGGGTTTTATTCCTATTCTGCAATTTGTTGAGAACAAACAAGGGTTACCTAGCTACCAGGATAAGCCTTACGGGATGCAGCTTTCCCCTACAAGGTTTCTGTCTTTCATTGGTGTATGGGGGAAATAGCTTGGGTCATTTCCCAGCTTTCTCCTTCAGCATCCTTGGCTTCAGGACTGAGATTGTGCCTTGAAGCTCATACAAGGGGCACCATCCAGCCAGTGCCCCCTCAGACCAGAGGAGTAATTCCAGGAGCAGCAAAGGGAAAAGAAGTCCCTGAGAAAGCAACAGGAAGCAGGGGATCCCGGGGCTGTTGGAGGAAGGGTTAAGGGAGAGCGGATATTCCAGTGGGGCTGATTCATGAAACACTGCGTGCTTGGAGGCAAAGCAGCGCAAAGGAGTCTGAAGGATGGCATAGTGAGGGGCAGATCTCATTCTTCCTCTTCCTTTCTCCATATATGTCTCTCCCATTTTCTTACATTTTTACTTTTTTTTTTTTTTTTCATGTTTTCCCTATTCCCCACCTTTCTCAGACTGCCCAGAACAGCAACAGCCGTTCCCCCTGTCCCCTGCACACAAGCCCAGTCCTGAGCGGTGCCCCATCCCCATGCCCATCCCCATGCCCATGCCCATCCCTCCCCATCCCATCCCATCCCT